GGACATCATCTGGATAACCCATAATTGGGATCAACCAGTCGCAATGCGAAGACAGTGGTAAGTCTCCGAATACCGGAATGCCGGGAGAGGCGCTAACTCGCTTTTAAGGGCTTTGTCGATGCACATATTCGTTGCTGCCATCTTTCTTCTCAGAGAATCCAATAGAGCACAAGCTGGGGCTGAAGTTGACTTTACGGACGAGGTTCAACTCGCCATTGAATACCTGGACGAGGTCAAATCACGCAACGCCATAGCGGAGAGAGCAGTTGCCATCCTTAGGTCTTCGTTGGACAAGGGAGACACAGAGGCATACTATTCATGACATCAAGTGACATTCTCTTTATCTTATCTTAGCTCCGTCGACCTCACAACCCAAAACCAAACGCAAGCTTTGCTTCAGCACTCAAGTCCTTCAGTCCCACGTATCCCTTGAGTGTTCTTTCGTCCAAGTCATTTCCTTCTTGCTAGTCTGGCGGTGGTCTTCCATAAAGAGTCTCGGACAGTTGTCTTCTCACATACGCCTTGTTGTTTATAGTCGTGGGACACGCGGCGATATACAAAACTAATGCATTTTCCGATCCCTCGTGCACTGGATCAACTGCATGGCAGACCTATATCATAATAATTAGCCGCTGCAAAATCTAAAACGCAGCACAACTTACATCAGCATGCCACCAGACAGTGTCGCCCGGCTCCATCTTTGGTACATGAATCAAGCACTCTTCCAGCCTCAGGTGAGGATGCGACGAACGACTAAGCCACTGGCTCTAGGTCTTGACCGTCCCGGGGAAAAGACCGGACTCATCAAGAGTCCACTTGGTCGCATCCATTACGTCCACAGAGTCGACGGGAGGCTTGAAAAATGGTCTTAGAACCATGTATGTAATGACAGTAGCCACGTTGGGGTAGACGAGGAGTGTTCCCTCGCTCGGGGCAGTTCGTGTCAGGGCAGTCCACCCTTGAAATGAGCGAAAGACCGATGAATGAGCAACGCCTGGGTATAACTCTTGGTCTGCGATTTTCCGCAAGCTGAGGTCATAGGGATCATGTAGCTCAGGCTTTCCGGAAAAGATGTTGCCATATACCTCTCTGTATGCCGCATCTGCCCATCGAGCTAGGCTCCCGGCGTCAATGTGCGGCCCGAGTCCGAGGAATTTCTGTCGCGGAGGTCTGTCTCGTACTCCATCATAGTAAACCAAAGGGTCTGGTGACGTATCTTCACCGCTTTCATCGTGCCAAAGCTGGTTGAGAAGGCGTTGAAGTTGAAGGTGGTTTGGGTGTGATCTTACGGCGTTTTGGGTGGGGGAGTCGTACAGCATAAGCATTGAAGGGGTCTCCTTTGGCCATCCCTGGATCTTCTGCTTGTTTTCGGCAACGCAGTGTTTAAGGTCTGCGTAGTGTTGAGTGGTTTCGGTTTTGGGAACCACCTCACGAATGACAAAGGTGCCGACTCTCTTCGCCTCGTCCATTTCGGCTTCCGTAAAGCCCTTGTCGAGAAGCATGCGGGCGTTGAAGACTGGAATAATGCCACGACCCTTGTCGACTATCTCATCAGTGACAGCCTTGAGCTGTTCACAGACTCGAAGCCAACTCTCTGTCAACGCCTCGGCACCGTACTGGGATATAATTGTCTTCTTGGTGTCGAGAAAGTCGGGGTCTTTTGGTTCAAGGGCGTCCTTGTCGGTGTATTCCGGCCATGCGGGCCACTTTCGGACGCCTCCGGGCATCTTTAGGAGGAGTCTTTTGCTACTTCAGGTTTCTGGTGAGCTGGGCTTTGAATGTGTTGGCGGCCAAAATTATGAGAAATGCCATCTTAAGTAGCTTATCATCCACCGCTCGTCTTTCGGCATTTTCGATGCGATATTCCATGCCCCAGGACCGCCCATGTCAAGTCGCGCCGCCGGCCGAGCCAATGATTCAGTCTGTCAAGACCCGCCCGAACTCGCCCGAGGGAACAAGCTCGTATGAAAGGTGACATTTCCCCGCGATGGCAATCTGGGATAGTAACTCTGTTCCAGCCGGTAGTTACCAAGTGGGCCAGCGATAGGCTCGCCCGAACTCACCCGAGACCTCGAGACAGCCAATCAACTTGAGCAGATCACAAATTACCACGACTTACAATCAATGGGATATAAGGGTGACCAAGAAGCCATGCGACAATATGGAATGATAATTGATAGAAGTCAGGCGATTTGTAATCAAAGCCACACATCAGCAACATGGGTTTTGAGCGTAAACATGTCTCCAGGTTGGTACCGGCCAACTTGAAGTTGTTGTCTCCTTTGCTTCTGGCTGTGGCCATTGTGAACTCGGCAGTAAGTACCGTTCCCCAAAACTGGAGCATTTTACTAACCAGAAAATCAAAGACTCTAGGATACGATGCTTCAGTCATGAACGGCCTCCTTATCCTTCCCTCATACACCGAGTACTTCCACTTGACTCCTGCCTTAGAAGGTCTGAACAACGCGGCATCATGGATGGGAGGCATTCTGGGTGCCTTCTTGATGCAGCCGGTGCCAGATTACTTCGGGCGTCGAAGAGCCATCCTGGTCGCGTCAGTCATCACAGTAGTTGGCATTATTCTCCAAGCCGCAGCGCAGAACATTGCCATGTTCGTCATCGCTCGAATCATTGTTGGTATCGGCTCTGCGATCAGCAATGGCGCTGCTCCCACTCTGCTCGGAGAACTTCTGCCAGCTCGCAAGCGCGGCCGAATTCTCGGTCTATTCTTTTCTTGTTTCTACGTGGGAAGCTTGGCCTCAGCCATTGTCAACTACGGCAGCCAAAACATCCAGAGCACTTGGTCTTGGCGTCTTCCCTCTCTTCTTCAGTTCGTGCCAAGCTTGTTGGCAGTGATACTAGTGCCATTCGTTCCGGAGTCCCCACGCTGGCTGATTGCAAAAGGCCGTAATGATGAGGCCCTTGAGGTTCCTGTTATCATGCAGGGCAAGGGGGTCGAAGATATTCAGCAAGGACAGGAGAGCTTGCATGAGATCAGAAGCATTATGAAGAAGGAGGAAGAGGAGTATCCTCGAAACCCGTGGAGAGAGATCGTATCCACGCCCGCCAATCGGAAACGCCTCGCCATTCTCTGCACATTTGGTCCCATGATCAACATGTTTGGCAACTTTATCATCTCGTATGTGTCATTTTCAGATACCTTGACTTCTACTTTTGCTTACTCCGAGCTAGGTCTTACCTTACCAAGATTTTGAGTCAGGCTGGTATCAGGGACACAGTGAAGCAAACACAGATTCAAGTCATCCTGAACTGTTGGTCATTTGCTGTTGCAGTCTTTGGCAGCTTCATGCTCGATATATTAGGTAGAAGGAAGCAAACCTTCATTGGTGTGGGCGGGATGATTGCCATGCTCTACATTGTGGGCGGCCTCATTAAGAGTGAGTTCTAACCCACGCCTTCGGCCGGCATAATTGCCGTGAACGTGGCCTGAGGGAGGGTCAATGACTAACATCTCCGTAGCATATGGCGAATCAACCAACCAATCCGGAATCTACGGCACGATTGCAGTCATCTTCCTGTTCCAAGGGTTCTACGCCTTTTCCATCACGCCAATGACGAGTCTGTATCCCACGGAAGTTTCGCAGTACAAGCTCCGAGCTACGGGGATCGCAATCTTCCGCATGCTGGACTCTGGCTTCGGGTAAATTTACCACGCTGTTCGTTTCAAAACTCTCTGCTGACATTGAATAGTCTGTTGGCTTCATTCACAATGGCATACGCAATGGCAGACTTGGGGTGGAAGTTGTACTTCATCAACGCTTCCTGGAATGTGGTCTTCCTCGTCATAGCATACTTTACGTTTGTCGAGACCAAAGGACTCAAGCTGGAAGAAATTGCTGCCAACTTTGAAGGACCCAGGATTTTGGAGGCGAGCATGGAATATTCGGTTTCACAAGAGATTTCCGTCACTGAAAGAGGAGTTCAGAGTGTTGATACGAAGTCGATGTAGACAATTGGCTGACACTTCAAATCTATCAATGGAGGGGCAATGACGCATTGTTTTTCTCAAGACATTTGGGAGGGTTTTTTTTCCAGATACAGCTTCATCACTTGAGTCCACTCACTGTCCTTGGACTTGAGCAAGGACCGCATCCATCTCATCTAAAGTTGGAAGGTTGACAACCATCAGGTACAGCGCATCTTGTCGCATCAACTTCTTCAGCGGCCGGTTTCTCTTCCGCTTCTCGCGAGCTTCCTTTCCAAACTTCCGCTCTCTGCCTGACGCCTCGAAGCGTTCCTGTCGTCTCTGCTTCAGACGTCGAATTGGGCCCTTATGCCCCTCCGTCGAACTGGAAACCTCCGGCCCTTCTTCTTCGGATGAATCTTCTTGCATGAGCTTCGAATCAGGATTTTCTTTCTTAAATCTGTCTGTAGCCTTTCGATCGTAGTACTTTGAGATGGAGTCTCCGAACTTCTTCACCATGTTTTGCTTTTGCCCCTCATCCATCTCGTCGAGTTGAGGAAAGACGAGCGGCGCTGGCTCGGGGATCTCAGCCTCGCTCTTTGTTGTACTCGAACCCGAGTGCAGTAGCTTCTTCCACTTGCTCTGTTTCTCGCTGCCTTCTACGGCCTGGGTGATATTGTGATCCAGATCGATGTTCTCCACGACTTCGCTGCTAGACGGCTTGTACTTTACAATAAGAGTATACAAGCCACGAGGTTTGAAAGAGTTTTCGTTCATGACTTCTAGGTAGTTGTTTTGCTTGTAGTTGACGTAGCCCCTGCGCGATGCCTCAAGCCCCGTCTGCACTGAGAGCGTCACAAGCATGGTGATGGGCGCAAATCCACCAACGATTGTGTGAGCGAGATCTGCACCCATGACGCCGGCGTTCACGACCCCGAACCACGGACTTCCTTTGATGCTGTTCTCGAAGCCGTCAAGGAACTCGAGCCAGGTGGCTTGATCTATGCCGCATTCTTGTAGGACCGGGGCGTAAGCCCGCACGAAACCGCGGTGTCGAGACTCGGGCCGACGTTGAGGAAGTATGACTGGCATTGGTAGACCGGGCCTCTCGCTTCCGAGGTTAGAGGTCTCTGGTGGTGGGTGTTGAACGATGAATTCTGCCAGCATTCCCTCGATGTCTTCAACTGGTGCCCCATGCTGATTGCCGGAGGACTGTGACTGGGCTTGCTGGGCTTCGTCCAGCGCTAGGGTCCAATTTTCGTCAACGTCGCAATCATCCCCCGTCGCTTGATGTTGGGCTACTGTTGCATGGCCAGATGCGACTGATGAGCCTGCTTGGACTGGCTGAGTGGGCACATTGCTATTCTGTTGCGTTGGTGTCGGTTGTTTCTGATCTCCCTGGAATTTCTTTGCGGCATCGACAGCGCTGCCGATGATTTTCGAGATCGGCCCACGACGGTTCAGCATGTTGGCGGCGCTATCGGCACGGACAACGTGATGGACTAAACGGTTGAGCTAGGTCTCAGTAGGATGCTAGGTATGTCACTCGACAGAGAAACTTGCGCAAGACCAGTCATTCCGCACGGCACATTCTATCCGATATAACATGATTATAAAGAGATGGGCATTCCCCCGCGACGGAACGCCTCTATCAGCAATAGCCTTCACGATTCAGAGAGCTGACGAGAGAGTTTAGCGTAGGATTTCAGGCGGGGTAAAGAGACGAAAATCCCCCAAGTGGCTGCTGTCTCGGGCGCGAGCTACGTCCGGCCCTTGCCAAGTTCTAACATGAAGGCGTGCCATTGACGAACCAGCGCTCATCACATTTTGGCCTCAAAGGCTCAAAGAGCCCCCAAGTCACATTTTTGGTATGCTGTGCTCCTTGATAAGAAATCAGTGCAAGCGAAGAGGATGTCGCCTGTCGAAGAATTGAGTTTGGTCGGAGAAAAGAGGATTGGGGTGGTGCCGCTGATCAGGGACAGCGACTGAGCAGATGAACCCATTCAATAGGGCAGGGTACATGGGTTGACGGCTTAGCGCTTACAAGGCACAGCCAGAAGAAGCGATCGCAATAGCTAGGCACCCAGAGAACGAAGAAAAAGGCGGCAGGCAATCGCAGCATGGCAATGACAAGGACTTTGCCTGGTGATGGTCTCGAATCCATGTAGCAGACGATGTTGAACGCCTCAAATTCCTGGTTCCGCGCAGTTATGCGTAAGATTCAGCTCTCAAGGACTAAGAATGAGCTTGTTTGCGTTAATCTTCATGTTGGTTGCACAACCGCGTCATACTTGGGCTTTACCTCCACATAATTGCATTGCCATCGGCTACCTATTCTCGTCTCAAACCCCTCTCTCCTTGAGTGACACTAACCTCGCAGACGGCCATTGTTGGCCATGCAATTTCCAGGATTTCCGTCAAGGACTTTGACAAATGAGAGACTCTCGACGCGTCAGCCGGTGCCATTGACTGGATCTCAAGCGTCAGAACCGTCAAGACCGAATTCTGCACCCAGCAGATCCCCATCCATCAGACAACGCCACATATGACAGCCACTGTGGCACCAGCTAAACCTGAATTTCCTGGGGTAACGTAACCGTGTGGCGGGTGTTCTCGTGGCGCCCCTCCTAAATGACGACTGCCAATGGAGGGACATCCCACATCGTGAGTGGAGAGGCCGTTTCCCTGTTTTCAAGGGCGAACCTCCTCGGATCCGTGTGCCGGAGCGCGTTCAACACCGGAGACAAGCTTCCACTACTGCGGGAGCGGATGGAAGCTCGATCACACATCCCCGCAGTTCACGTCATGAATCCCTCCCTCGCCGTCATGAAGGTGCTTCTCGAACCGAAGTTTTGCGCTCGGGAGCTGAGTTTTCTGCCAGCGGAACTCCACATGAGCTCATAGCAACACAATTCGGAGCTGAGACATGGCCTGCTGATACTGCGAAGACGGCGGCAAGATGGTCTGGACCTCTGGGCTAGGGAAGTTGACGAAGGTGACATCACGCTGGTTGTTGGACGAGAATGGATGAGCATCATGTCTCGAGAAGCAGTATTTGATGCTCTCTGTCCCTCAGCCTAATCGTCTCAGAAGAATAGTCAACAACACAACTTGATACCAACACAACACAAGCTACTTTGATACCCCAATAATCAAGCCTCAATCCTTTATCCTACCAACACTAACATCTCTTTACTACCTCTACAACTTCAATAAGTCAATCAGCAATCATGGGTTTGGGAGCTAAAATTAAGAACGCCCTCCACAGCGACGACCACCCTCAAAAGACCACATACGAGGGCGACCAGCCACCCGGCGCATTCCCCTCCGACTCTACCACAACCGGAACCTCCAAGCACACAACCGGTGGCTACACCGGAGGCACCACCGGCACCACCGGAAGCCACGTCCCTGGTACTACCGGCACCAGCACGCATCACACCAGCAACACCACTACTGGCTACAATGATCCCGATGGAGTTCACGGCCCTCACGCCGGCAGAGTAGCCAACAAGGCAGATCCGAGAGTGGACTCTGACCGGGACCACCGCGACGCGCCCACCTCCGGCTTGACCGGCAACACCTACGGCACCACTCACGGCACAACCACCGGCCACACGGGAGGCTTGACTGGCAGCAACACCGCAGGATACAGCAACACCACCACGGGCTACAATGACCCCGATGGCGTCCACGGCCCGCATGGAGGAAGAGCTGCCAACAAGCTCGACCCCAGAGTCGACTCCGATCGCGACCACCGTGGTGCTCCCACAACGGGTCTGACTGGCAGCAACACCTACGACAACACCACCGGCACCGGCCACGCCGGAGGTCTGCACAACAACCCTCACGGTACTACTGGAAGTGTTGGAGGTGTCGCTGGCAACACCACCACCGGTTACAATGACCCCGATGGTGTTCACGGTCCTCATTCCGGAAGAGCTGCCAACAAGCTGGATCCCAGAGTTGATTCGGACCGTGACCACCGCGGCGCGCCTGGCGCAGGTCTCACCGGCACCCACCGCCCCCATGATTCCGGTGTCGAAGTCGGCCACGGTGTTGGCCACAACAAGCCCTACAAGGGCGAGTACCTTGCCAACGCTGAGCGCACCAATGCCCAAGACCCCTACTGGGGCGACGTTGGCCGCGACGGTTCTGCTCTCAACACGGACCTGCCTCTGCGCCCCAATGAGTCTGCTGTTGGCCATGGGGGTCCCCAGGCTGTTGGTGGAGGCCACTACAACCCCGCGGCGTCCACACACCACGACCCTGCCTCCAGCGTCGACCGCTCCATGGAGGGTCGTGACTTCACTCACCCCCACAGCTCCGGTGCTGGAGTTGGCGGTGCCGGCAGTGACCCCTACAGCGGCGTTCACAGCGCTGCTCACAACCCTCAGGCGGCTCTGTCCGGGGGTAACGTCAACGACCCGTACGACACTCGCATGAGAGACAGAGACATGGGTCGTGAGCGCACCGGACACGGAGCTGCTGGTGCTGGTATTGGTGCTGGCGTTGGTGCTGGCGCTGCCGTGGCTGCTGGACAGGCTGCTCACAGACACCGCCGTGATGACTTGCACGAGTCTGGTCTCGGAGGCAACAACACTGTTGGCAGCGTCAACTCTTCTGTTGGACACAACACTCACGGAACCCACAGCGGCGTCACCGGAACCCATGGCGGTGTTACTGGCACCCACGCCGGTGGTGTCCATGATCACCACCGCTCCAGCCTCACCGGCAACGAGCCCGGCGTGCCCAAGACTAGTATGCTCGATCCCTACAACGAGTCTCCTACCGGTACTCACGGCACCCACGGCACCACCCACAGCAACGTTGCTAGCACTGGTCTCGGAGGAAACACTGGATCTTCCGGTCTAAACCAAGGTACGCACTCTTCTCATGTCCCTGGCACCACCGGCCTGGGACCCCAAGGAATGGGCCCTGACCATTACGGCCCAGGACATGACGGAGCCAAGGTTTTCCACACCTGCACCAAGTGCGGCGAGGACAATGACATTAGCAGATACTTCAAGAAGGATGCTGTTTACCGCATGAACTAAGGGATTTGTTCAATGGAAGCGAGCACTGTACCTATACCTTGTTGTATTCATAGTTAACTCATAATGATCATGACCTTAATGGCATTGCTGCATTACTCTCACTTCCCCTCAATGTGCACACAGCCACTATAAGCATTCATGACGATCTCATCACCGAGTTCAGGCAAGAGCGCCACGATTCGATTTGTTTTCGCAAGTTGTTCACGCGTTCTTCCGAACTTCATCCTTACAAGAGGAACTTGAATTCAGTAAAACACCAAAAATGCTCACCAACGTCTCTTCCAGCGTATTCGCATATCTCTGTCCGGCGGCACAGCTCCCGCACCTACGTACGCCTTGTCATTCATAGGAGGCCTTTCTGAATGCGACCCATCAAAGCTGACCCAATCTTCAAATTCAATATCAAATCGAGACGTAATCATAGCGACAGCCAGGATGATCTCCTGCTTAGCAAAGAAACGTCCAGGGCACATGGACACACCACCACCTACGACACACATGTTAGCCCAGGTCATGATGATGGCCGAATGTATTCGGCTTACCGTAGGGGAAAAAATCGCTCGGTCTTCCGGCTACGGAAAACTCCTTGACTTGATGAAGCTTGCCATCTTCGTCCTCTTTCTCGACGTATTTGATGTGACGTTGCGCCCAGAATTCCGACGCAGGGTGCCCCTCGACACCCCATACTGACTCTTCACGATGTCCAATCTGCGTCGGTGCCTGCACCAAAGAGCCTTTACTGAGATGATATCCATCCAATTCCATTGATTCCATCACTTCGCGGGTGATGTTGATGGACACGTGCATTCGCAGTGTCTCCACGTAGATGGACTGAAGCAAGGGCAGGGTAACTAGCTTTGCCACGTCAAAGGTTGGCTTTCCAGTATTGGGATCAACGATGGACACCGAGTCGACCTCTTGGCGGACCGCCTGGAAGAGCGACCGATCTTTTATCACTTCCATGACAGCCCAGGCCGTTTGGGGCACAGAATTCGAGTTGATGCTACACGGAAGTTCTCACGTCAGTCAGGCTACTTCCACAACCAGAGGAGAAACTGGGTTCCCTACCCTGTGATACTTCCAATGTACATCCCAGCACGCGATTGAAGCGAGAATCCTTTTTTCTCCCAGAATTTTGAGTGTTCGCGTTGCAGTCTCGAGCCAAAGATCGGTTCCCAATCGGCGTCGGCATCAGGCCCGTTCCAGTCAAACTTAGCCCATGCATCAGTCAGGAAGTCCGACATCATTGATAGGGTCTTGCGCTGAATCTGTTTCGGCCTCGGATTGATCCAAGTCGGAAGGCCGTACATGAGCTGCATCGCAATCGTGTCGAATTCCCAGAAAATGTCGACGAATTCCGGATGGTCCTCAATCAGCTTCCGCCCTGCAAGTGAGATAGTCGCAGCTTCTGCCATATCCTTCTTGAGATACTTGAACAGCTGCAAGGTTTTCCACTCGTCACGGAGCTGCTGGTCAAGCTTCTCGCCGAAAAAGGTGATGAAAGACTCCGCCAATCTTGCAGTAGCCTCTGCGCGGAAGAGATGCTCGTTGAAGACGTGATGCAAGCCAACCCAGAACCTCTGATTCTCAGGCATGCTCTCAGATCCCGCAGCCGGAGTCTTTAGACGACCAGATCTATCGTTGTACATTACCGCCACGTCCTCGTCAATCATTCCTTGCACCCTCCCATTGACCATGACGATGAACTTGTCCGAGCTGAGCGTGTTATTCGAGCTGTTGCGAAATAGCTTCTGCACATTGTGAGAGCCTGCGACCAAGTACACAGTGTCGGCGCCGAGGTTGAACTTCACGACACTGCTTTTCTTCAATGCTTCGGTAGCGCGCTCGAGAAATCTGCTATTGTCGGTGATGTACTGATATGTATTCGAAACATAGGGGATGAGACCCGGCAAGCTCGGAGGCTCGTTTGCCTTTGGCCGCAAGACATGGCGGAGGAAGGCTATGCCCAGGAGTGGTAGCAACAGCCAGGTGATGATTGGTGATGTCGCATGTTGTTGGAGCGACTGCCAAAGTCCCTGGTTGCTGCCAAATGACTCGGAAGCATTAGTCGAAGCCATCACCAGCTGTCTGACAAATAACTACCCCAACGATATGTGAGGCACTTGGTTATGATGAAGAGCTGTGGTCTCGGTGAGGGGTAGATAGACCGTTGTTTTTGTCTCGGAGGCGCACCATACCGTCATCCGAAGTTTGGCTTTGAGTTATCCCGCCGGTGCGTATCGCTGGATTGGGAATGTTACACTAGGCTCGTTCAATTCGTCATGAACATGGATGCCCAAGAATAAAGCCGAAGGATCGAGGAAAACATGCAGGTGACTGGCCAATCCTCAACGAGGGGTTTATAACCCAGGAACGCGTCGAGAGTCACCGTACATGGCAAACGCAACTGCATCCTCAATCAAATCGTCTCGCTCGCATCTGCTTCCGATACAACCAGTGAGGTGCGCACGAAGGATTGCGCTAATTCAGAGTGCCCAATCCACGGTCTTATGAGCGAACGGGTGTAAGCGCGTGCTAGCAAGTCAGCATCTTCCCCTCGATGACGCCCGAAGACCCTGGTCGAGCGGCTATCGTGCATCACACCGCATCTCATATATGTTGAAAGTCTCGTCTGATTTTTTAAAAAGCTCGTTGAAACCCGTCTATGCACTGTCCAGAGTCTTCAGGTGCTCGGTGTTGGTTGCGATGCTTTGCTCCAAAGAGATCCAACCCGGCCTGCCCAGCCTCTTCAGCAGGCTCTCTGCCCTCGCAATGGGCTTCACTGTCACTGGATATTCTTCATTGTGGAAATCATCGGCAAACTTCCTTCCCGAATTCTGCTTCCGAAGGATATCCAAGATAATGTCCCAGTTCATTGGATAGGCAAATGCGAAGATGCGTTCATTCTTGACATCAGGCAGAATAGCCGCCGCAACGTGCAAGGCAGCATCATCCTCGACGTCGACAAAGTAGTGGGGAAGATGCCAAAGTTCGGGGAGAGTCTTTCCCTCGAAGAGCTCGACAATGAGGCCGAACGACGACGAGCCTCCAGTTTGCGAAGGGTCAATGCTTCGCCCAAAGTTGAAGTCTGGCACAACTTGCAAAGAGGATAAGAGTAAGCATGTGCGGTCATGTCATGAACGAGGCTTCTTCTATGTTGCATCAGGCAGTATTGAACGCCGACTTACTCGAGTTGACCACGATATCTGGCCGATTGGTTTTGTTCTCTTCGTAGAACTTCCAGATGTTTTGCTCTTGCTCCATCTTACTTGCGCCGTAAATTGCTCCGCCGTGTTCAACGCCCCAAGGAGGAGGCGCCCAAGCCAATGCCTTGGCGTCGTGACCAAATGTGTCCACATCCACCGTCTGGCCCTTTAGGGCAAAGAAGTTTTCCTTCTTGAGTGGCATGAGAGTTGAGGCTGATGAAGTTAGGACGAACCGTTTCATGTTTGGTTCCTTGTATGCTGCCTTGATAGCGACCATCCCGCATTTCACTGCGCCTCCAATCACTTCGGCCGGGTCGCCGTTGAAGTCGATGACGGTGGCAGTGTGCACGAAGATTGACGCCCCTATGATATTAAGTCAGATGATCCTACATTAGAATGGTGCACTCGAAAATGCATGCATGAAGCAGGGGGGGTTCTCGGAGCTTGACGTTGTGTTCGGGGGGCACAGCAGCACTCACCTTTGATAGCCTCATCATACGCGCCATCGACCTGCATATCAGAAACCACATGTAGTTCAAACTTCCCTACCCCGTACTTCTTCTCAAAGTGTGGGACAAGCCAAGCACTCTTCTTCGGGTTACGGACCGTTCCGCGGACTTTATATCCATGTCGGATGAACTGGTCTGCGATGTGAGACGCAATGTAGCCATTAGCGCCAGTGATGACTGCAATTGATCCCTTGGGGACAGCAGGGTTCTCAATGAACGTCATACTCAATCCGGTAACGGCGAGTTTGGTGTGTGTCTGTGACGTTGCTTGAGTTCAGATGCCGTGACGTATAGCTGCGTTTGAATGCGTACAATGTGGTGTGAACAAGGAGAAGGGGAAACGAAACACGAGGACAATTCAGAGGGCATGTTCTTATATGATTTGGATCAGCATATGCCATAGAGAGTTGCCATTGAGAGATATCCTGTTACGTGGCCGGCCGGAGAAAACAAACATCTCCGTCAAGTGGGTCGGTGAACCGGGCTCGACGTGATGCCGCCGAAACATGGAGCGGAGGCAGTGGGTTTTGTCCGCCGTCACCTTGACCCGCAAGTCAATAGAAGTTGACTCGGGCGCCACTGAAAGACTAGTCAGAAGCATCATGGTTTCATCGATATAACCTCAACGATTTGCAACTTACCGAGGAATTGGCGGACGTTGTGTGGGTTGAATTGGCCCCGAATACTGTTCGTTGCGAATGGAAGCTATCAATTTGTCTTCAGACGAGTCCACAGGTATCGCTCCTCGATGTGTCAACCATCATTCCGTATACATGTTGACTAAAACTTCACTGAGGTACTGAAGATCTGAACAACGTGGGTTGGAAGTCCGCAGCTTGTCTCGATTCCTTACCTGTCATTAGGAAGCAAATATTGTTGGGTTTCGCGAGAAGAAGTCAGAGTTGACCTCGGCGCCAATTTGCATGCAGAAACTTCCGTCTCCTTCCTTCAAAATATTGATGGTCTCCTGCCATCGTTCGAAGGAGGTTGGCTGAGCACGATGCTACAATGGTGTGTGGATGAAATGCACCGTAAGCTGCGTCATGATGCATGCAACCCTTGCAAAGCTGAATCCCAGCTGAGGTTAGCTCAGAGCGGCATCCTAAGTAAGCAAGGCTGCGAGAAATTTAGCTATCGCAAAATCCGTCAGCACCAAAACTATTGAGCTTCAATTGTGACTGACCGCCGCAATGGATTGGTCTCCGAGCCTTGCGTAGCGGAAGCCATTGGGCACACCAACGGACGGCTTCCAACACCAGAGCACTTCATGCTCGGGAACTCTCCCTGGCTGCCAAAGCCATGGCGAACAAGCCTAAGCAGATTCGTTTCGAAGAAGATGGGTTCGAGGATTGGTCAGACTCACCAAGCTCGCCTTCCCGTTCACCAACGCCCAGTGTCAGCTCCTTTCAACGCGACTCTCGCCCAAAACGCGGCACGACGCGCATTCCTTCACGTATTGTGTCCAAGCGCGCATTGATACATCTTGGGTACTCCTTTGCCGAAGATGGGGACACAATTGTGGTTCAGCTGGCACTCGGACAGGACCACATTGAGGAACTTCTCGAACTGAGTAAAAGAATTCGAAGTTCAGACCAAGGGGCTTCTGAATTCGGCGAAAGCGATGAGGCGGGCCCCCGAGATGAAGATCAAGGCTTTGACTGGATCAACGTCAACGCACCTGATACGGAGACGCCGCAGCTAGAGACGGGAGAATTCGAGGACTTCTCTGCACTCGAGGACAGGGAGTCGACACTAGATGACACGGATTGGGATTGGGACGATCTTGAAGGTCCAGTGATCTACTCAGGGGTTCTAAACCTGAACAGCACAAAATCATCCATGGATAATGACATGAACTCTACTGCCGGCAAGCTTCTGGCTTGGAATCAAGAAAAGTCGGATCTCATCAATGGAGCTAAGACGGAACTCAGTACAGTGCATGCAGCAGAGTTCTACATGGATCGAGCCGGCAACCAAAAGATCACTCTTGCCTGCCCGGAAGACTATGAGTTTGGGGCTACAGACGATTCCCTTGTTCGGTTACGATGGCTGTGAGAATAACCCGAATCATGAGGCAAATGTCGAATCTGACAAAAGATACTTTAGACACGTACAGTCCGAGTCCTTGAACATCGCGACTATGGAGGTAAGCTTTGAACAGTCGTGAACAACTTCACAAACACGGAAGCGTGGTCACTGACCGACAAGTAAAGACTCTGATATCAGACTGTCCATATATATCCCAATCACTAAGACTAGTAGCACTAACAGTTCTCAAAGAAGTTGCTGCGAAATGTGGAAGATCTTCAGAAAATGGCTCTTACCTCGAACCTGGCTCAATGATCCAATACATTGGGAGATACAACAGCTCACTTGGGGTCTATGAAGACGAAGATACCTCTGATACCGAACCTGTAGTCTTCATCTCTTCACCTCACCTTCTTCTTACCGACAGGCACTCAGCCAAAAGATTCCCCGGGAAGCACTATATGAGGAGTCTTCGAGAAGTTCTGTATGGCTATGACGACGAAACACACCCCAACAATGAGTCTCGAGGACGAAATTTCAAGCTTGACGAGAATGGACCACCCAAATTGAAGGTTCCGCAAATTTGGACCTTGATAATTGGTGCAGGTAAGTTTTCCATCTACTAAATAGTCGCCGGTCGCGCGCGTCAGAGACACTCGCTTACACCTCCTGACCAAATTAGACCTGATCGTCACCTTTTCAGAACTTTTGTCGCCGGAGATACATCAAAATCTGATCAAGATTGACCGGACAAGATCATCTGCGGGACTTTACACCGTCAGACTCATTGACGAACGAGCCATGTGCCGGTATCATGTTGTCGTCAAAGCAGACTGGAAATATGCAGTTAGTTCACGGTTGACACCAGATCCATCCCACCAGGAATCTTACTAAGAATTGGAGGACTTCCTAAAGCATGCGGTAGCACTGGCACTTAAGGGACAAGGTCCTGTCAATGCAGCTGCTTACGTGTTAGTCAATGATTATTGGGGCATAATCACAGCAGATATCTGGCTGAACTTACTTGCGAGCGAGACCATTGAGGACTATGTCTTCGGAATCCGAGAGAAACACGAGGCTCAGCGGAGACCCAACGAGGAATTCCTGGCTCTATCGGAAAAGCTCCTCACTGCGGGTAGCAGGAGTAATCTGGGCAGCCGCAGAGCGTCGCGCCGGAGGTAAGACACGAATGAGATCTTACGTCTTTGTGCGCCATATGTACTGATAATTCTCCACCATTCACCTAGTTCATTCAGGTCCGACTCGAGAGCCACAAACTTGGATCCGATCGACATGGATATGCAAATGGTACTGCATCCTGGTATGTGGGAACACGGTGGTGACTCCTCGAGTCCTTCAGAGGACGGGTTAGAACAGGTAGGAAGCGACGCGTTTGAAACGTCAACGATGTCTTTTGACTCACACTTGGGCGTTGATAATGCATCACTCGATGGCACTGTTGACTTGACTACATCCATGTCAGAAACAAGCTTCAGGATGAGAAACATGGCCAACTTCGAGTCATCTGTCTCGCTTGGGGGTGCTGGAGCCCCGAGGCTCTTCAAGCTTAAAAAGGAAACAGAAGCATTGGATCAGACGAGTGGAACAGTACGTAATTACATCATTCTCATGACGGGACGAAGCTGACAATGGTTTCCTTGTGCAGACTGGTAGCCCACGATTACAGCCTAGCCAGTCATATGTCGAGGTTGTTGAGGAAAGAAGATTTACTCTCCCACGTGTTCACGGACAAACAACGCGATCTATGTCAACGAGGAGCTTGAGATCGAACCTCACGCCCGACGTTCCTGTGTCGCGTCATAGACGACGTCGAAGCCGTTCAAGAACTCGAAGCTTTACTTATGCCCGCGACTCTCCCCTAGAGGCAGAGCCACTTCCATCTTGGCTCACTGATCAGGAGCAGTTCAGAAGGACACGCAGTGATGCAAGTTCGTTCAACGGCTCGTGGACCAGACAAAGTCCCGATCGGGGATTTGGGACGGGTTTTCTCTCCACAAGCTTACCGCCACTGAATCTAGACGATCTCAGCTTTGTACCGTTTCTTGCCTGGAGATTGACATGGGACGACGACAAGAGAACACAGCTTGAGATTGAAAAGACCCTTACTCAGCTACTGGGTAATCTGAATGCGACTATCGAGTCGGATAAAGTGGGAAAATGGTACAAGGCTTCTTTCGAATGTACCAAGGGCGAGCTTGCCCAGCGATTAGCTAGCATGCTGCAATTATCTCCACCCAAACCAACTGGAGAAGTGACTGAGGGCATGGCGCAGACCAACTCGAGGCTGGACGTCAATCCAGGATCAAAATCTGTAGCTGACGCCGATCTACATGAACCAGATCTAAAGACCAGCATTGAACGCGAGGGGTCTACTGGAAGCCTTGTAGCTCAAGCGTCGACGTTGTTCGGGTCTACCGAAAATGAAGAAAATGAGTTCGATCCGAAGGTTGAACCCAACACACACTTCCGCCAAACTGTACACAATTCATCATGCGAAGATCTCCGATCTGTTAATGATCCTTGGAAGCTGAGAAATTCCAAGGACCATGAATCATTCCTCCTGTCAAGAATCTTCAGCGTTTCTCGAAGCATGCTCAGCGCCTTTCTTCCCGACGAGGGGCGTCTTGTTCATCATCCGGTTTGTAAACGATTCTGGGGTTCAGTCGACGCAATATTGAGGGTGAGGGCTTCAAGCAAAATGCAAACGTGTGTGTCTGAACTAACATCTTTCAGGGGCTTAAGTGGTCGATCGATGAGATGAAAGGAACGGATCAGCGTTCCTGGTTTGTAACACGGCCAACTACGCCCTTTCCGCCAGGAGAGTCAGCCTCAATCTCAGGGTCAAGAGCTCTAGGCGATTGTGATGACTGCGACAAGATGAAAGGGTACCTATCACCAGAAGAAGCACTCGAACATTGGCACAAGATTCACATGAGAACTCCGTGTCTGCGCCAAGCGAAAAAGGGTCGGGTATTTGATGATCCCTGTTTCGTCTGGATCCGCCGCCATGAAGTCGAAGAATCCTCGACTATCAGATCGAAGGAAGCTCCAAGAAACGAAGTCGTTTCGTGTCTAGAGCTCTTCTATGAAGAGTTACTAGACATGGTTGACCGGACGGAGGAACTCCACAAGCTGGTCATGAGCGTAACCAGCTTGAGCGACTCGGCCAACTGCCACGACAACCGGCCTCATCTGCCCAATAGCATTGTTGAGGCTTTTGAGCAGATCGTCGGCCTTTTCGTGCTGAAGGCCAAGGAGATTTCTTGGATGAACAGGCTCACTATCACTCCTGATTCGTTATACGGCCGTCATGCTGAGCGACGCTTGATGGATCTCAAGAGGAATGGAGCAGCAATCAGAGAGCGTGTTCGCAATCACCTCGACCGAGCGAAGGAGGATATCATCCTCCTGGGAACCAGCAGGGGCGACATGGACAGAATCATTATTGCGCCAATAGGTCCTGAGTTCCTGGCAGTCGCGCTGATTAGCAACTTGCAGAATAACATCTCCAAGCAAGGCACCAACGATAAGGTCGATCTCATCAGCCACTACCGGAACCACACCGCAAGACTCCGGTTCAACACCAACCGAAAGCCGAAGCGGCAGGCTTTTGTAGAGATCCATGCTCTCGAAGAGGAGTTGGAGGCTTTGCAGATGGTGGTCGCTTCCCAACAGGGCATGCTGAGGGCGTACCAGAGGCTCTTCTCCCCTTTGACTTTCAAGTACCCTACGACCGACTGGATCTACTACAAAGAACGGAAGTCTCTGTTCAAACTCGAGAGCAAGTGCGTGCGCAGACAGCAGCGTCGCTTGGCGGAGCGCGACAGGGCGCTTGGAGTTCTTCGGAAGAAGGTGAGGGTGTTGAGAGACGAGACGAAGCAGAGGATTGAAATCCTTGATGAGGGACATGGAAAGGCGATTCGGGTGTTCACCATAGTGACCTTGTTCTTCTTGCCCTTGTAAGTCAATTGTCACCTTGAATTGTTGAACTTTTGAGGCTGATCATAAACTTTAGGTCATTCGTCACAAGCTTTTTTGGAATGAATACGACCGACATCAGAGATACCAACTACGACCAAAAGATCTTCTGGATCTCGGCCCTCCCCGTCACTTTCGGGGTCATAGGATTAGCATTTCTGTATGGCTACAAGTGGGATTTGATTGCAGCATGGGCAAATAGGACTTTCAGACCGCTTCGAAAAGGCACGGCTCTGCAGGAGTTTTCACGCGAGGAAGTCCCGACTTGGACGAGTACGGCGGAACCAAAAGATACCTGGTTACCAAATCACGAACGAGCCAGCGTGACCGGATGGAGGTACAGAATGTCGTACCTGTCCGCACGACAGCGACAGAGGAGGGGTAGAGTTCCTAGGAAGAAGACGGACGATAGTCTCTTCCGGCCCTAGCATTAACGAGGAAGAGGTAGTTTCAAGTTGAGGTCAAGCAGAATGCTTGTTGTGATTTTCGAATAAATAAAACTCAGTAGACATGGTATCTTTAGCGTGCCGCAGGTGGCTTCTTGGTATCCTCTGCTTGCTCGCGTTCTTGGCCATCGGCATCAAACAGGGTTTCCTGGGCTATAGAAAACGTCAGTAGGTTTATCACAGTCACAGAAGGCGAGCGACTTACCACTCCAGAGCTCAGCATAGAGTCCACCCCTGTCAATCAGCTCACGATGGGTGCCCATCTCGGCTACGTTGCCCTCCTTCAGTACGATAATGAGGTCCGCGTCGAAAATGGTGCGCAATCTGTGAGCCACGAATACACTGGTCCGTGCCTTTTCACGCAGAATGCTGTTAATGTTGAGCATGAGAGCCTGCTCGGTGTGGGTATCCAACGCGCTGGTAGCCTCATCGAAGAAGAGCAGAGGCGGGTCCTTGAGAAGGAGTCTACTGACGGCCAGACGCTGCTTCTCTCCGCCGGAAATCATCAAGCCACGCTCTCCCACCTTGGTCTGGTATCCATCGGGGAACCGCTCAATGATTTCGTGAATGCGGGCGCGCTGAGCGGCGGCGATGACGCGCTCCGGGGGTGCTGACATGTCGCCATATCGGATGTTGTGCTCGATGGTGTCGTTGAAAAGCGGGGTGTCCTGGGGAACAACGCCAATGGCCCGGCGGAGAGAGTCCACCTGAACTTGGCGGATATCCTGATCGTCGACGAAGATGCGGCCAGACTGCGCGTCGTAGGAACGGAAGAGGAGTCGGAGCAGGGTTGACTTTCCGCAGCCACTGGGGCCGACGACGGCGACCTTCTTGCCGGCGGGGATGGTGAGAGACAAGTTGCGGAGAATGGGGCGATCGGGGTGGTAGCCAAAGGTGACATTTTCGAATCTAATTTGTCCGCCCTTGGACAGAGCCAGTGGTTTCGCGTCGGGCACGTCCTTGATGGAAACGTTGACCTTCTGCAGATTGAAAAGTGTTTCCATGTCGAGCAATGACTGGCGAAGCTCACGGTAGACGGAGCCGAGGAAGTTGAGCGGTACGGAGAGCTGGAACACGAGCTGGTTGACCATGACGAGATCACCAACAGTAAGCGTGCCTTGGGCAACGCCGTTAGCAGCCAGATACATCATGGCTGTCAGCGCCGAGGAGAAGATGATGTTTTGTCCACTGTTGAGGAAGGCTAGCGAAGTTGCGACTTTGATGGAGCTCTTCTCATAGACCTGGAGGGCCTGATCGTATCTCGCGACCTCGAACTTCTCATTGTTGAAGTACTTGACAGCCTCATAGTTAATCAGCGAGTCTACGGCAACCGTCGATGCCTTGTTATCGGCCGCGTTTGCCTGTCTCCTGAACTTTGTTCTCCAAGCTGTCGTCCAGATGGTGAAGGCCGTGTACCCAACCATGGTGAGCACCGTAATAGCGGCGAACTTGGCGCCATACTGGTACGTCAGGATACCACAGACCATTGAGATTTCCAGTGCAGTTGGGAGAATATGGAAGACCATGCTCGTCAGCAAGAAGCTGATGCCCTTGGTACCCCGATCAATCGCTCTTGTCAGTCCACCGGTCTGCTTTGACAGATGGAAGCTGAGGTCCAGCCGCAGCAGATGATCAAAGACGTTGCAAGCGACTCGGCGGATGGCCTTTTGGGCAACAGAAGCAAACACGGCGTTTCGGAGCTCCTGGAAGATCGTGGCGCCTATCCTCGTCGCACCGTATGCCAAGATCATGCTCCCCGCTATTGTCACTGCCGTGCCGCCGGTTGCGCCAAAGTCGATATTCATAGAATCCACGATGCTTTTGAAGTAGAAGGGAACCTGCACATTCAGGACCTTTGCGCCAATCAACAAGGAAACAGCCAGTCCGACGCGAAACTTTGTGCTCAAGCTGTCCTTGGGCCACAAATATCGCGACATCTCCTTCATGATGGCCCAGTCGGCCTTACGCTGCTCCTGCGTTGACTTTTCGGGTGTTGCGAGAGGATCGACGGCCGTACTCTTCTTCACCTTGGCAGGTTCTGCCTTTAGCAGTTGTGCCGCGGTCTTTTCGGCGCCATTATCGATCTTTGTCGTCGCCGGCGGCTTCGGTTGGTCGCGTCTCGAAGGTGCGCTCGTTTGAAAGACGCGAATGGGAGCCCGGGGGCTTTGAGGGAGCCATGACGGTCGGTAGAATTGGGTGTGAGAGATGCCCCGAGGGCAGGCCAAAGGAGCCTTGGTGACGGCTCGGATGATCATCGTAATCGTGCCCTGCGCCGCAACTCGATCATCTTCCTCGTGGGGTCTGCGGTAAGAGATGTGTCAGCGGATGGCGGGGTGAAGGGAGCTGGGCCGAGCTATCGATAAACGATCCGATCACGGGGATGGGCGGAGATTGGCGCAACTCACCACAATTGGAGAGTTCAGACAGCAAACATGAGGCCAACGTGGTTTCCGGATGATGCGGGAGGGAAACAGCAATAGGACTGTACGTGGTTGGGTGTCAAACGCGGCGATGATGCACAATGAGGCGTAAAAGTCGCAAGCACCGGGCTCGGCATTGTCGAGCGCCTCGGCCGGGATGATGCAATCGCCGGCGCCTAAGGCACCTTGAGAGCCCGCCCGATTGGCCCCACACCTCCACACCGAGCATACCCAGCACACCGAGCACACCGAGACCAGCAAGGTGCGTAGTCTCTTACCGAGACTCACCGTACACGGACCAAGTTGTGCAGGCACACCGAGCATGCTCACCGACCATTCCCGTGGAAGAATAGGAAGAACTAGGCTAACTCAGACACGCGCCGTGTGAAAGAGCTTTGACGGTATGAATTATCCTTTCTGGCGCTTATGGATGCTTAGCTCATACAAGTCAAATGATCAACGAGGAACTGCCTCTGCTCAGCACTAACAACATCGCGGGCTACAAGTCTAAAGTGTAAAATGTGCGATAAGGTGAGAGCCAACGCAGTGCAGGTGACGTATGCATCGTCGCTCGGAGAATTCGGGCTCCTTAGAGCATTCTCAAAATCGCCAAGCTTCGGTTATCGCCCTTGAAGCGGGCCGGGGGGCTAGAGTTATGTCCGGCCGATGCGGCTCACCCGTTCTTAGAGCCGTTGCTACTAGTTCATCGCCTGCGCGGCCGCCCTCTTCTATTTCTAGAGCCGGATCCTAAGACACATGTTCGGGGTCACACGCTGTTTATCCGGTCCAAGGCGGTGCTGTGGCTCAAAGACTTTCAATATGTAACAATCTGCATAACAGTCAACAGTTATCACCAACGTCAGGGGCTCCGGAGCGATTGTGCCGGCGGGACTCTCTCCAAGCCGAGTAGGAACTTTGGAAGTGAAGAAGCGGCATGGCGGCGACTCCTATCAAAGATGGAGTGGGGTACCATGTAAAGTTTTGATTGTTGATGTCGGCCTCGCCCGCCCTCCTATCCCTATGTCTCGCCATCGACTCACTGTCACCCTATCACCAGCCCCACGGACGCATCCAAAGCTTTGCCGCGTAACCATACGCACTGGTCTCGAGATCCGGCCGTAGTGGCCGTACCGTGAGGTATCTCGACGCCTCTGACTTAGCTACGGATCAGCTTCCATCAAGACCTGAGATTTGGAACTCAAGAGTCCAACACTTCAGCTAGCATCGTCCATCTGATAACATCGCCAAGCAAAATGGCGCACTTGTGAATTATGATTGGGATAGTCCAATGCTACCATCCACGTGGTTTAGCTCGCAGATGTCAAGATCGCCTCCGGGATCTGCGAGCAGACAAAATACCCCTTTTAGAACATTGCGCATTCTAGCCCGGTAGCCACCAAGGGCGAGGCCGCTTGTTTTAGTTCCCTTTCCCAAGTCCATGGGCTCAGATTGCAGAGTTTCTAGCTTTCTAGTGCGTCGAGCAGGGGATAGCATTATTCGAGGTCCCTCTACGGAGACAGCCACGCGTCGCCCACGTAGATTTCGGATTTCCCGGTATGGGGCCCGGGTTTTCCGCCGCCGTGGAAAAGAATTCTCGCATACATTTGACCCTGGGAAATCGGAGTCTCCATGATAAAGACACTTAAACGCCATTAGAGATGTGGCTCAGATGTGGCCCGCTTCGCAGCCTTAATTTATCGTGAGTCTCCTGGCGACGCGCGCTATCGCCTCCCGCCGCCGCTTACAAACTTCAACACCAGAGATTTGATAGCAAACCCCCCAACGTAGAATAGCTCTTTAATCGTGAGAAAATATACAGAAAATACAGTGAGCTTTGGCAATTCAAACGAATATGGTTTTGACAGTATCCAGGTGGTTTTTTCGTATCAGTGAACAAGACCTTGAAGAATAAGGCCGAGATCTGAGCCCGGTGTCCGGGAGCACCCCCCACATGCCGGGTCGTGGAACTTCGCCGATGGATGGGGCTCACCGTGGATCATCATCACCACGAACTACGGAGGTAAACTCGGGACGTCGGCGCTATCGCCCCATCGGCCACGCAACGATGACGGCGGAGCATGAAACTGCAATCCATGGGAAACAGGAGCAAACAGGAGAACACATGGGAAAACATGGAAACACAACTTTGATATAAGTTCAGACGTTTCGCCAAGATGTAGACTTGAGATGAACACCCATCAACCAGTTTCATTCTTTTGCTTCATCCACTATTAGACATTCGCTTTCCTTGCCCAGCATGAAGGTTTCTACTTCTGCGGGCGCGCTCGCCGCTCTTTCTTTCGCTTCTTCTGCTATTGCTGCTTCCAACTCTTCTTCCACCCTCACCAACGCCATTCTCGCTGACGGATATGGTATGTACTTACACAGCTCTTAAGTGCTAAGTTTTACACTCATACCTAACCCTACTTCAACAGTTTCCCTCGGCCGTTTCGACGATGCCTACCAGAAGGCCAAGGCCTTTGTCGCGACTCTCGACACCGCCGCCAAGGTTTCCATCATCACCGGGCAGAGCGTCACCGGCAACGCCACCTGGACCGCCCTGAACAACAAGGATGGTGTTTCCGGCATCAACTACCAGTTCTACGTCTCCGGCTTCAGCATGGCCAACGCCCTGACCATGAGCTGGAACCGTCAGCTCATCGAGGAGCAGTTCAAGGCCATCGGTGACGAGTTCTACGGCATGGGCTACAACCTCATCAACGGACCGGAGGCCGGCCCGCTCGGCCGCACCCCCTATGGCGGAAGAACCCCCGAGACTTTCGGTTCCGACCCCTACCTCACGGGTATCGCCATGGGCAAGGCTATCTCCGGCATGAACTCGGCCGGTGTCATTGCCGGTGGCCGTCATTTCCTTCTCAACGAGCAGGAGACCAACCGATCTTCTGGTATCTCTGCCACCACTACCAACGTCTACTCATCCAACGCCGATGACAAGACCATCCACGAGCTCTACTCCTGGCCCTTTGCCGACGGTGTTCAGGCCGGTATGATGGCTGTCATGTGCGGCATGACCCGTGTCAACGACACCCTCTCTTGCGAGAACAATGCCCTTGTCAGCAAGCTCCTCAAGAAGGAGTTCGGCTTCCTCGGTCTCGTCTTCCCCGATGTCAACTCCCAGTCTACCTCTTACGGCTCCGCCAACGCTGGTCTCGACTACGGTTCCAGCACTTACTGGACCGAGGACATCCTCACTGCCGGTATCAACAACGGCAGCTTCACCCAGGCCCGCCTCGACGACATGGTCGTCCGAAACGTCATTGGATACTACTACGTCGGTCTCGACGACGGCAAGCAGCCCTCCAAGGCCTCCACCACCGAGTACCGTGACGTCCGCGGCAACCACTCCAAGCTCATCCGCCAGGTCGCGGGCGAGTCCATCGTCCTGCTCAAGAACTCCAACACCTCCGGTCTTGGTCTCCCTCTCCAGAAGCCTCGCACCATCTCCCTCTTCGGAGCCCACGCCGGCCCTGCTCTCGCCGGTCCTAACCAGCCCTTCAGCGTTCAGGGGACCGACAGCGACGTCTACCAGGGTCACCTTGCCTCCGGCACCGGCTCCGGCCAGCTCTCGCTTCCCTACCTGGTCACCCCTTTCCAGGCCATCACTCAGCGCGCCATTGACGACAACAGCATGATCTGGTGGCTCCTGAACAACACCTACACCTCTACCTCTTCCGGCGGCATGTCTGGCGGTGGCGGCGGTGGTAGCCCTCCCGGCGGCTCTTCCAGCAACAGCACCGGTGGCGGCATGGGCGGCAGCATGGGCGGTAACAGCACTGGCGGAGGTATGACCGGCGGCGGCGGCGGTGGCCTCGGCAACCTTGGCCAGGGTACCGCCATGACCCCCTCTTTCACCAACTACGCCGAGAACTCGGAGGTCTGCATTGCCTTCATCAACTCCTACTCCGGTGAGGGTGGCGACCGCAGCCTCCTGTACGATGACGAGCAGGATGCCATGGTCACCTCCGTCGCTTCCAACTGCAACAACACCGTCGTCGTCGTCAACACCGCCGGCCCCCGCATCCTCGACGCCTGGATCGACAACGAGAACATCACCGCCGTCATCTACTCCGGTCTTCTCGGCCAGGAGAGCGGTAACGCCATCGCCGATATCCTCTACGGCAACGTCAACCCCAGCGCCAAGCTGTCCCACACCATCGCTAAGGACGCCGACGACTACCCCGTCTCTATCTGCTACACGGAGGACTGCGACTTCACCGAGGGCGTCTTCATCGACTACCGCTACTTCGACTCCAAGAACATGACCGTTCGCTACCCCTTCGGCCATGGCCTCAGCTACACCGCCTTCACCTACGGCAAGGTCGACGCAAAGGTCACCAACCAGACCGCCGCCGACTCCACCTACCCGACCGGCACCCTCGTCCCCGGTGGTGAGGAGGACCTCTTCGAAGAAGTCATCAGCGTCAAGACCAACATTAAGAACGACGGTGGCGTCCAGGGCGCCGAGGTTGCCCAGCTGTACATCAGCTTCCCCTCCGAGGCCGCCCAGCCCCCTCGCGTCCTCCGCGGCTTCGAGAAGATCGACCTCGCCCCCGGTGCCGCCGGTGACGTGACCTTCAGCGTCCGCAGACGCGATGTGAGCTACTGGGACACCGTTGCTCAGCAGTGGGCTATTGCCAAGGGCAAGTACACCTTCTCTGTCGGCTCCAGCTCGCGCGACATCCGCGCCTCGGCGGACATCACCATCTAAGGCATACCGACTTGGAGCTTTCTTTTTCTTTGTACATACTTTTTTAGAAGTCAACTGTCCTTGACGTTTTGATTGGACTCGCTGTGCCATAGATATAGACTAGATACCTCTTGCTGCAATTCATTCCCTTCTACAACACATTCTCATCGTGCTGTTGCCTTGCCCTATAGGAAATGACTGATGAATGTAGGTGCAGTGTGTTTCGTATGGAAACTTACTCATGATATAACTGGGTGTAGCAAAGCCCGGATTGCTTGTGTATTTGCCATCGTTTACTACCTGTTGTCGTGCCTCTGCCTACTGCCCCTGAGAAAGGGGGTGGGGGGTTACTTGCTGCGGCCTGGCTCTGAGTTCTATCGGAAACCTACAACGGACGAATCTTCGTCCGTTCTATGTTCTTTTCCTCCTATTCATTGAGTCATTTTATGGGTAACTTGTACCTCCGTAGCTTAATTCGTTGCCAGTGCAATGTTCTGTCAGATATTTTGTGTATTCGGTACTGTATACTACTTTTCCGGCTGATCCATTCCATCATATTCACCGTATTCAAGTCCATGGAGCAAGAAGAAACGCAAAAGAATTGAACCGTTGGAGAAGGCGCAACCTAGTCGGTCCTGCCCTCAGAGGCGGTGATTCATTGGTATAGATATCGCCTTACCTACGCAGTCTTTTCCATTCTCCCTTCATCACCATCTACACGTTTATGCCGCGCACAAGATAGCACATCACCATGGGCAATTTCGGAAGTAGCGACGGACAGTAAGTCATCTCAGGAGAAGTTCACCCAGTAAATACATCAGGCCACCATCGTCTGAAATTATATTGGCCGACTAACTGGTATACCTAGGCTCCTCAAGAGCGGCAAGTTTTCCGACTGCAAGGTCCAGTGTGAGGGCAAAACATGGAACTGCCACGAGTCTATCTTGTGCACGCGCTCGGACTACTTTCTGAAGAACCTTGGAGAAGACTGGCCGGTATTTCAGGACTCAGACATGTTGGGAATAGTATGTCTAACTTCTTGATAGTCTGGCAAGACTGGTGTTAGTGAGATTACCTGCTTCACCGCTGAGCAGATGGATTGGACCATCTCCTATATCTATACTGGTGGTAAGCAGAATTAAACTCCTCTCTTTTTGCTCTTCTTTTCCGCGATGCCCATTTCATACCGACGGGTTTCTCATCTGGCTTTCGTCCGAGACTAGACAGAAAGAACCTGACAGGGGCCGGGCTTCCGTTGGAGTTCACTCGATACATACGACAGGCACTCTTACTACACCCCTTCTATACATTGAGCCTCTACTCGGATCCGGGGGCATTAGCTAATGGATCATCAAACAGAATTCGACTTTCATAGCGCCGAGAAAAACAAGACCATTCTTAACTCCGCTGTCCAGCTCTGGACTCTGGGCGACTACCTCCTGGTGCCGAACATCTGCTCCGACGTCGAGTCGAAGTTTGACGACTTGAAAAACCGCACACCCAAAGCTTTCTACCCCAATCCCCAGGATTGGCTCAATGCCGGCCGTGTTTTCTACGTCGATTACCAAGACATGGACAGCACCCACCCCCTCAAGGCCAAGTTCCTTGACCTTACGCTCGGCAAGGCATGGGCTAGAACGCACAATCTTCAGATGCCCGAGTTCAAGATCCTGTGCCAGGAGCACCCCAACTTTGGCAATGATTGCATGATGAAGCTCATTGACGATCGTACCCACACTCTTATTTAGTTTGAGGTCACTTGGCGCCTTGTAGAGGAGTTCCTCGGTCATTCTCCCAGGTGGTTTCGGAGCTGAATGAGGGGGGTAGGATGGACCGTTTACAAGACTAGCATAGAGGCGAGGAATTCATCACCAGAAAAAGCTCAAGGGCAACGATGCATTCACAGATACTTCTACGCAGTTCCTCTGCACAGTATCCTTACAGCGAATGCGTGGCTTTCCATCAATACCAGCTAATCGTGCTGTTTCCAGCCTTTGGCAAAACCGTGAACTGGGTCGTTAACCCCTTCCAACTCTCACTTTGCTGAGGATCAGCAAACGGCAGCAGCACCGCAAACCTCATTCTAGACCCAGGTCAGCATCGCACGGTACAAGACCCATCACCGGCTAGCGATGGTGGAGTGACGACTCACGTGTAATTGCCCGGTGCCATGACGCTTCCGTCGCCCAACTTGCCAAACCAATAGTACGCCGTCGTGAATCCGCCGGTCGTCAGCGCGTTCCTCGCGACATCAGTCTCTGGAAACGAGAAAGTATCGCTGGCGTTGTGACGAGCGGGGTTAAAGCTCGACGTCTTACCGGCAGACGACCAGGACGTCGCTGAGCCGATGTAGCCATGTCGTCCCGACACGGGAGGGTATTCCCAGTCTCTGGCCTCGTCAAAGTCGGATTTATAAATCTGTTGTTTTGGTTAGTTTGGAATTGTGCTGCAATGCAGCTGGGTGTTGGAGTTGACTTACATCCCACCGAACCTCTCTTGTGCCCCATTTGACCTTCATGAACATCATGGGAAAGTCCTGGTTGCCACTTGCGAGCTCAAAACTGAAGCTGTAGTTCACGTTAGCTCCATTCACCGACATATCAATGGTCATCTCATACTCACGTCGTCTTGTTGCCATACGCGCTCGTCGACCTCAACCATGGGTAGGTCCCATGAAATGGACTCTCCATCTGCTTCTGCAAGTCGAAAGCGAGCCCTTGGTAGGGAACGGCGACAGTCTCTCCGTTGCCGCCCTTGACCAAGAGGCGACCGCCGTAGGCCGGAAGCGCTGTTTGGTTAACCCCCTCTGGCGCCTTAAAGATGAATCTAGGGAAGTTAACCTCATCCTCAACATCCGTTCTTCAAAGAAGAGAACTCACTCTGCTCGTCTCTCCTCTCCAGGGCCCAAGACAAACTGTTCTGGCACCGTCACCCTCGCCGAGATATGACTAGGCACAATCTCTGCTCTATACTTAATCCTCGGCGTCTCCCCGGGATCCCGTCCATCAAACGCCTTGAGCATCTCAACTCCGGCCCAGTTCTCAACCTCGAAGCTATACCTCACCGTCTCATTCCCGCCATTTCTAACAAGAACCCCTTGATCCGCGCGGAAGTTCGCAGTATCATTCAACCCAAACCTCGCCAACTCCAAGCTCGTTCGATACCCAGCAACTTTGCCAGCATTAATAAGCCCACCGCCAACCTGCTGCGACGTCGCTCGATGTGCCTCATCTGCCTCACCACTATACAACAACCAAGGCAACGATGCTCCTGTTGATATGATCCTCATACTCAACTCCCTCGCAAACCCCTTCCCATGAACACCCCTCCCGCCATGCTTGGAGATATACAACGCCGCAACACCAGCAACATACGGCGTAGCCATACTCGTGCCAGACAGCAACACAAACTCATTATCATCCCCACCAGGCCACGTACTAAACACATCCGTCCCAGGCGCAGCAACATCAGGCTTGACAGACAAATCATACAACCCGCCCCAACTCGTGAAATACGACGGCCGTAGGATATCTCCCCCCGTCGCCTTATCGCGCTTCACCTCCGCGCTCGCAACACTGAGAACATTCTCACCCGAGCTGCCCGTGCTGGCGTAATACGCCCCTCCGTTCCCAGAATTCCCGGCACCAATGGTAACGACCACGCCCTCAGCAGCGATACGGCTCGCGACGACGGCCCAAGGATTGTTCGCGAACCCTCCCCTGCCGCCGATACTAGCAGTAATAACATCCATCCCGTCATCGTACGCACGGAGGAACGCATCGATAATAGTCGCCTGATCCGTCCCATCACCGGGTCCGAAGACTTTATACGAATACAAACTCGCATCAGGCGCAACGCCAACCCACCCGGAAGAAACATCCTCCCCGGCAAGGATCCCCGCAACATGCGTCCCGTGCCCTTGCTCATCAGCCGGGTCCGCATCAGGTTTCTTCTCGGTGCCGACGACCCATCCGTCACCGACGAGGTCCCAGCCGCCGGCAACCTTGAAACCGGGACCAAACCCTGCGCCGAGGGCAGTATGTTTGTACCATACCCCTGTATCGACGATGCCGACTTTCACGCCCTGCCCGCGGACGCCTTGTTGGTGGAGTTGATCCACGCCAGTGGCCCAGTGGACTGCGTGCGCTGCCGCCGCGCTAGGGTCGACGGCGACTTGGCGCTTGACGGGGGCGATGAGAGATGCTTGCGTGTTAGGCCAGACGGCTACGATGTCTGGGAGGACGAGGAGAGATTCGAGGGTGTGATTGTTTGTTTCTAGACTTGCGCCGGAGAAGACTTTTGAGTCGAAGGTTTTGAGGACGCGGATTCCTGTGGAGGAGAGTTCGTCGCGTTTGGTTTTGGTGTGGGTGCCCTGTTGTTGGTCAGCTTTGAGGAATTATTGATGGATGGTGAGAGGACTTGCGCTGGCGAATTCGATAATGAAGCGGTTTGCTTCAATCTTTGGAGAGTCCTCGTCGATGGTCTCTTGATTGGCGGCCTTGCCGACACAGGCGAGGGCGGACAAGATCCAAAGGCAGCGCATCGTGGGCGTCTGGATGAAAGTCTCCGCATTCGCCGTCACGAGTTTGCCGTGACTATATGTGGTGATCGCATCACGGCAGGTCTAGAGACAGCGAGCATACCGGCTTTTAAACCATCGCGATAACTCATCATACCCTTCTCTGAGCGCATTTCGCAGTCTCCAGCGTTGCGTATCAATTGCCCCGCATCTCGTGCGAGCAAGGGTTTTGTAATGTGCTCGTTCTCTTTTCGATAATCCAACGTCGGATCAGGAAGCTCAAAGAGGGAGGTCGAAAGCGGTGATGGGTCCGACATCGCCATATCAGGATATGCCAAGACAGCACTGGGTATGGCTGGTGAGATGATAGAGAACCCGAGTCTTTGAGACGTCTATGCTAATATCTACATGTTTTCCTTACTCGTTGTAAGTTATCATGTCAGTCATCAAATCGCAAGATGGTCATGTTGAAAGACGAGGCGATGTTTGCCCAATACTGAGCATCAGGAATCGCATCTCTAGTCCGAATGCCGTAGCATTTGCTAAGAGATCCACTTGACTAGGATCATGAACCTGCGCAAATGTGCTCTTGGGGAGTCGCCAACATTCTATTCAATGGTGCCCCGAGATGCAACGGGTTCGGAGTGTTAACAACCTGTCAGTCGCAAGTCTCACTGTACACACGATCAGGTCACAAGTTCCATCCAAACATTTCTAATTGAGAACAAGTGATTCGTCCCAAGGGCACAAACAAGCTTCAATTGAGTTTCGGCCATGCCGCCCGGACGTATGCCAGGGACCGGGCTGTAGATCCGACGATCTCGAGCACAGCCGCTGTCAATGTGACGTTGTTTTCTGGGGCCGTTACACACACCATCTTGGAGCTGCTGAGACCCGTGAATAAGACATGTGAAGAGGGGGGCATCACCAAGATCACTAGAAGCATCGCATTGAGATCACATTGAGGGGAATGTGCAGACATGGGGTCCAATGTGTAGGATAAGAATATAGTCTATATGCATCTAGCCCGTCTCTTTGGGCTGTCCCGCTCCCATGCTGAGCCCATGCATCATGCCTCGTATCAACCGCCTCCCATGTTGCTCGATGACTTGTCGCTCTGCTCATCGGCGTGTGTGTGTGTGAATATCAAAACAGGCGGAAAAAAAAAAAACACAAATACCTGCGGCTGAGGTAATGTCACTAAAAGCAAAGAATGCCGCTTTCTATCCATACTCCCGGCTGTATGACTCCCCTAGCTATATGCTGTTCTTTCCTCATCACAGCGTACTTGGCTTCTTCTTGAGTCACTTCTCCGACTCGGGAATGTGTCCCTCGACCGTGCTCAGAGCAGCCAAGTTGACCTGACCAAAGTGCTCGTGAGCCTCGCCGCCGAGACCGACTCCAGCCAGCAGCGCAACGCACTCGACCACGTCCTCGGGCTCCAGCAGATGCCATCTCGCCAACGTGACCTTTGTGCTGGCACCGACAGTAACGGTGAAGATGTGCTCGTGCTGGACCTCGGTGCCCGACAGGCCGTTGAGGGCGCGAAACATGTCCTCGTCGGTGAAGTCGTCGCCCAGGCAGAGGACGAACTCGACGGGGCCGGGGTGTTTCTCGGACGCGGGCGCCGAGTTGTAGGTGTGTACGAGGCGCTTCGCAATCTCGCCCTTGTTGATAAACGTCGGTCTGACCTCGAGGTTGGCCTTGCCTGCCATGACCTCGACATCCCACTTTTGCGCCACTGTTGACTCGAGCTCCTTTTGGCACTCGCGGGCCATGTGGATGCCCTGCTCGGGGTCGGCAAGACGGTAGTGCCATGTGAGGGCGCAGCGCTTGCGCTCGACAAAGGAGCCTTGTTCATGTTAGCAAATGTTCTCGTTACTATTTGTCAATAAAAGGCAATCCAAACATACCAGGCACTCTATCGGTGAAGGACTGGAAGCAGGCCATGACCTCGGCCTGCCAGCCCATATCGAACTCGTCGGCAAGGTTGACCCACTCGTCGGAGCCGGGATTCTTCATGAAGCTGCCGTGCTCAGCGCTGAAACCAAGACCGGCAATGTGGCCAAGGTGCTGGGTGAGGAACTCTTGATCGCGGCCTGAAATGATCCAAACCGCGTTCTGCTCGTCGCTGGCAAGGGCCTTGAGGGTCTGCAGGACGCGCTCCGAGGGGACGGCGGCGCTGGGCTCGCGGACGATGGGGGTGAGGGTACCGTCGTAGTCGAACATGAAGAGGCGCTTGCCGGCATCGCGGTAGGTCTTGAGGAGGGTGGCGCGGTCGAGGAGAGGGGTGGCGGCAACGTTCTTCTGGGTGCCGAGAACGTGGACGTGCTTGCGGATGAAGTTATCGATCCAGCTCTGGACGTTTCGGGTGGTGACGTGATTGTACAGGTTGGCCTGCATGTTCATGCGCTTCTCGGGGGTCATTGTGAGGGCGTTGTTGATCTCGACGGCGACACCGCTGAGGTCCCAGGGGTTAATGTGGATGGCGTCCTTAAGGCTACCGGCGGTACCGCTGAACTCTGAGAGGATGAGGGGGCCGTGACCCTCGCGCTGGCAGATGACATACTCCATGCTGGTGGTGTTCATGCCGTCGCGGACCGAGGTGATGAGGCCAATGTCGGCAGCGCGGAGGAGAGCAAAGTACTCGTCCTGGCTGAGGTACTGGGGGTAGTGCTGAACGGGGGAGAAGCCCAAGCTGCCGTACATGCCGTTGATGCGCATGACGAGCTCATTGACACGGGTCGCGATGCGGCTCTCGGAACCATCGTCGTCCTTTTCCTCCTCGATGCTGGTGGGGGAGGTGACCTGGATGAGGACAACCTTTTCGCGCCAGTCAGGGTACATTTCGAGGAAGCGCTCAAAAGCCTGGAGCTTCTGGGCGACACCGCGGACGGAATCGAGGCGGTCGCGACCGACGATGATCTTCTTGCCCTCGTACAGCTTCTTGAGGGCGTCGTACTTTTCGGTGACGGCGTCGGTCCAGGCGTACATTTCGCACTTGTCGGCGTTGATACCAATGGGGAAGACACCGACCTGAACGCGCGCACCATAGGCGTCGACACCGCCGCTATCCGATGGGAAGCCGAGAACGCGGGTGCAGCAGCTGGAGAAGTGGCGCGAGTAGCTGTACGACTGGAAGCCGACGAGGTTGGAGCCGAGGACGCCCTCGAGGACCTCCTTGCGACGGGGGAGGCAGCGCAGGAACTCGGAGGAGGGGAAGGGCGAGTGGAGGAAGAAGGAGATGTTCATGTTGGGGACGCGCTGGCGGAGCATGCTGGGCAGCAGCATGAGGTAGTAGTCGTGGACAATGACAATGTCGCCGGGCTTGTAGAGGTCGATGATGCGGTTGGCAAACTTTTGGTTCATGCGGTAGTAGTCGGCCCATTGCAGGCGTTCCTTGCGACCGTCGGTGGGCTCGTGTTGCTTGTAGTGGAAGAGGGTGTAGAGATCGTGTTCGGCGTAGCGGCGCCAGCGGCTCTGGTCCTTGAGGAGGATGCCCGCTTCTTGCTGCTCGTCGTCGTCGCAGAGCCAGACGGGCACCGTCTTGATGGTCTTGCTGTGGGCTAGCTGGGTCTCGAGACGGGCCTGGTCCTCCTTGGGAAGCCAGAGGCCCTCGCTGGGGGGCGGCGTGGGCAGGCGGGCATCGCCATCGATGGGGACGGGCGCGGAGAGGGTGTTGAGGGAGGAGAAGTGTACAGTCGTAGCGGGCGGGGTGCCGGGCGGCGAGAGGACGTCTTGGGGGGTATCAATCTCGCCCGTCCAGGCGACGACGGTGTGGTTCCAGGGGGTCTCATCGGAAGAGAGGTAGGTAAAGGAGTCGAAGAGGGCGGATTGGCCGCGGCGCGCCTTTAGTTCCTGTGATGGCGATGATGTCAGCGGGGTTGTTCAGGCGTGAGAATTGAGGGGATTGAGGGGATTGAGGGAGAAGCTCAAGGGCTGGCGGTTGAAGCAGAGATGGAAGCGAAAGGACAGGAACTCACCCAGTCGGAACCTTTGCGGTACTTGAGAGAATGGGGAATGTTAAAGGTGGCCGAGATGATGTTGCCGCTCAGCTGCAGGTCTGGGTTGGCGCTGCGAATCTGGGAGAGGGACTCGCGACGGCCCATGGCGGCGAGGGTCATGCGCTTGAGGATGTCGCCGGGGCCTGGCGACGGAGGGACTCTTGCGGTGTTTGAGGCAGCTGTGTTTGCGGGAGACGATGTGGGATTGCTCGTGATGTTGTTGCTGCTGCTTGTGCTTCCACTTGTGTGAAGTTGTTGAGAAGAAGAAGAAGTAGTCTCGTGGTGGTGATGAGAGTCGTGGGTGGTGTAGTTGGAGGGAGGAAAGTAGCTGCTGCCGCTGGGCGATTGGGCGCGCGAGCTGTCGGCAGAGTTGTACGTGTGCTGGTGGATGCCCGGCGTCACGGCGTCCGACAGGGCGATGCTTCGCAGCACGGGGTTGGCGGGGTTGACGGGCACAGGATTGACGCCTGTCGACTCTGGCGCGGGGGAGTTTTGCTCCATGACTCGTCTTCTCTATTCCTTTCTAGCTTTTCTGTTCAGTTCTCTGTTCTCTTCTCTGCTGCTTGTCTTCAGCCTGAAGGTGGGTGGTGTGCCGGGGAACGTGTAGAGTTTGGCTTAGCGGCAGTCCCAAGGAACAGGGGGACACGAGAAAGAGGCCGAGAGGGGGCAGACGGGCAGAAGATTCAGACGAGCCTCAAGTAGGAAATGTCACCCTACGTAAGACAAGGGTTGGGTTGGGTTGGGATGAAGTGAGGGTGATGATGCTGCGTCTCGTAGTGGACGTAAAGGTAAAGGTGAAGATGAGAAGAAAGAGAAGAAAAGTAAGGGAAGAAAGGAAGAGCAAGCACGGAAGGACTAGAGGTTCAGAAAGTGACGGACAAAGACAGACTAAAAGACGGTTGACCGCTTGGAGGCTGGAAACCTGACTGAGCTGGGGCTGGACCGGGGGATCTGGAGACGCAAGACTGAATACGGGGGAGGGATGCAGCAATACACCAGACCAGAGACTAGAGACCAGAGACTAGAGACAACAGCTACAGTCTGTACGGATAGTGTAGAGAGCAAGCAGAGCCGAGCCGAACATCCAGACCGAGACTAGAGACCAGGGCAACACAGCAAGCAGTAAGCAGCCAGGCAATGAAGAAGGAAACAACCGTATCTGATCTGATGACAAGCCGCGAACCAAACGAAGCCAACGGTGAGGTGAGTTCAGAGTGACGGGGGAGACGCAAGGTGGCGGGGACTTGGAGCCGGGGTACGGAGTTGAAGGAGGTGAATTCCAGGGCCTGGATGGAATGTGTCTGCTGAATGCAAGCAACGCAAGCTATGGACAGAATAGAATGCTGCGTAAGTATGCTTCTTAGTGGGTATTCTCTCGCTCTTGGGATTCTCTCTGTGTGTTTTTGGTAGTTGATGATAATCATAATGTTCGTGCTGTGATACAATATCTAGAGGGGAATATCGAAAGTATCTTTTCGCAGTAAACACCGGCAAAAGATACTTGGTATCAGAGAGTACGACAGCTGCAGGACGCTTTGCTCCTATCCTCTCTCTCTCTCTCTCTCTCTCTTCTCTCTATTCCACTATGCTGAACGTGGGTGGATGGTCTTCTCCGGCCCAGGCCAGTCTGCAAAAGAAAGTCTCCAGAAAACACAAAGGAGCGGCGCCAGGGATCGCAGACTGACAGACCACAGCCTGAGCACGGCAAAACCCACAGCTGCTTTCTCATGAGCTCAATGATTGGCTTTGGTGGACGATGCCAATGCCGCTGTATTGCTTGGTAGAGGCTTGTACCGTTGCGTCAGGGGTCTCTGTCTTCTTTGCTATTGTCTCTTCTTCCCTCTTCTCCTCTCTGCATTTCGGTGCTGAATGGTGAGAGCATATTGATAAGTAAAGAGACCGTTCAACAAGAATTAAGCATTTTTGAGGTGGTCGCCTAGTCGACTGTCCGTGTCTCGGAGCTTAGAAATAGTGGTGAGTGCCCCAAATCGAAATGCTCAAGTGTTGAACGGTTCCAGAGACCTTGACAGCGAGGGGCAGCACATGTCACTGCGGCCTCTACCGCTATTGTAGCGTCCACCGTCTATTTTGATGCTGCATAATCCTGGGAGATGCTGGCTGGGACTCGGGAGGATACCGTGGTCAAGCTCTGGCGTTTTCCAGCTCGTTCCTCTCTGCGCCCAGAGCATTGCCAGACCACGACCCGATAACTAGGTACCTATCCGTACTGCGTAGAACAGACCAGGAGACTCCAGGGAGAGAGATCATAGATGGATCATGGAGGTGGGGGAGGAGAGAATCGTTCCGGGATTGGGCATGGAGACAGACACAACCAGGACCATCTTGGCCAAGGTCTTGAACATGTAACGAACCAAGTGGAATTGGCTGCGTCATAAGTCTCTCCACACCCCTTCAATGTGGCGGGATACACCGAGAATACCTCCTCGTGACTCGTCCGTTACCTGGCCCTAGTTCCCCTACCCCTGGCAGGCCACTCGCCTGGTTCGGACGGGACGAATTGTTGATGGCGGGATTGGCTCAATGCTTTTGAAAAGGGGCTATCAGAAGCAAAAGATCCAATAACTGTTCTGTCATTGCCTCTGGTCTATTGAGTGCTCCGTTCTACCTATCCCTCAGGGCCAGCGGTAGAGTCGTAGTCCATGGTATTCGAGGATGGTGCTGAGTTGACAGGCTCTTTGGACGGTAAGATCATGGATGGTGGGATGTGCCCTGGTCGATGCCACCGTCTCTGTCTGCTCTAAGCTCCGCGCTTTCTGACGCTTTGCGTTGCTTGCCGTTGTCTGTGTGCCCTATGATGTCTTTGTGATGCAACCCAAGATTGCATCTCTGGAAAATCCAATCGTTCGGACCCTCCAACAAGTCTTTAACAACGAGAAACATGGAAACATTGGAAAGTCTCGGGAGGGAATGGGAAACGGTCCAAGTACGTAAAGCATTCAGGGGATCGGAAAGAATTGAACAAAAAAAATACAATAATTGACCCAAAACAACACCACAGCAGGACTGAGTAATGACCCCACCCCCCGTCCTTAACCCACAAACTTCTCGGCCCTCACCAGTTAGTTGATTGGATTTGGCACTAACAGCATCCAGACAACACAATGTGAGCCGAGAAAAGGACGCCGGGGCTACAGCTACGTATCTCATCATCTCATGGCGTGAGCTGAGCTGAGTCTACTGGAAGTTGGAACTGGCCGCTGGACTGACAGACCGGACACTATCCTGTTCTATACCAGTCTACTACGATACTAAACCCGCGGCTGATCCCCAACTGAAGCCATCCCCGCCACCGTCTGATAGTGCCCGCCCTGCTGGGAGAGAGCCACGTTGAGCTGCCGCCGCGGTCATCCCGGATGGCGCAGACACCATCGGAACACGATAGCAGAGCCGCCGTAAATTTGGGTCAAACGTTGCGCAAATGCAAATGACTCTACTCGTAAACTGCGGAAAGTTGTGACCCACCTGACGTAATTCGAGGTAATTATCTGCCCCTATTCTCCTCTTCAGTAGGTAGCCACAAGTTGCGCCAGTGCCACAACAGTGACTCGAGTGAGGCTCTTTACAGCACTCAGTACTTTGGAATAGAGTTGCCTCCAAGCCGAAGCATTTGTGCTGGATTCGGGAACCGTAACGTTTCCCGTGCGTCTTCCGGCCTCGGGGTTGATAACTCTAACCGCCTGCTCTGCTCTGTTTTGGTTTCCGAAAAGACGGTGAGCGGCGCGGAATGCGGACTAGGACGCCTTGGGCGACGAAACAGCTGGCTGTTCCCTCGCTGGCTGCTGCAATGCGACTCCGACTTGCACTGGACTGACTGATACTTTCCAAAAGGCAAAGGCAGACCACAAAGTCTGGTCCATCTCTATCAGGCCACGTCTGGTCGGACGACATGGAAACTCAGTAAGATCGGGACCTCAAACGCTCGCCCACTAACTTCACTCGAAAGCTGCAGAGGAATAGGCCCGCTCGGAACTGTGAATAGAGAATCGTGATCCAATTCTGCCCATTCTGGGGCCGTCATCAAGCACGCTGGGTTCCACCGCCTTTCTAAACATCCTCCCCGATATGCAACTCCAGTTTCCAATTACCATCGGCTTGGCTCATGGATGAGCAATGACTGGATGGCTTGACGAGAAACGTGCTTCGAGACGGGTCAACTCTCTTATTCCATGCATGAAGGTCGACGACAAAGCAGACTCCAACAGGGCCGCTAGACCAACAACGGTTGGGAGACCATGACCTCTTGCAGCCTGCAGAATGCAGAATGCAGAATGCAGACTACGGCGCCTGGAGATGCCATCATGCACCCTCGGCCCATTCCCTCTTCACCCACATCACCTATCGCCCGCCAGCCTCGCTCCGCTCCTTTCCTAGAAACGGGAACCCGAGTAGGCCATTCCCGGATGGTACAGGTGGAAGGGGAGCACGTCCATCCCCCATGCCATCGGATCGGGTTGAGAATTGTGATACCCAGGTCCTTAGGAGGATCTCTTATCAACCTTTTGTGATCTGTATCGAGTTGGAACTTTGCCACGGCACAGACAGCTAGAGCTTCAGAGCTTTGGAACGCAACTGACGAGTACCCCTCCCCCTCATCTCGTTGTCCAGCATTGAGCCAAGGAGCCTCAAACAAGATCAGAGTCTGTACAGATTTAGACATGCAGCAGTTTTGTTTCCCTTCCTAGTACGTTACGGCCCGCACACGACGATGCCCAGACCAGTCTCCTAGCTCTACGCGCTCTGCCCAGCATATCCACAAACCCCCATGGGTCTGCTATCTCGTCCTCCTGGAAAGCTGGTGACTACCCAACTACCCACACAGTGTACCACATTATATAATCAGTAGAGCTACTTTAGTACCGTACTAGAGCGCACTTTATGAATAGAAAAAATAAATATTAAGTACTATTACTTTTTTAATAGTGCCTAGAGGCGGATCTAGAGGGTAATTTTCTAACGCCTTCCGGCCCCTCTAGAGCAATTTATTTTATTATATACGACTACGGTTATCTATTAACTATTTAATAAACGAATATTACTTTATTACGTATTTATTAAAAGAGGGATAAAAAGCTACTTTACTAAAAGAATAGTAATATTTTTAATTATTTTTAATTTAATACGAATATAATATTATATTCTTTTTTATAATACTTAACGTATCGAAGACGTAACTAAAACTAGATTTTAAAAAGCTAAGTTTATATTTAGCGAAAAGATTTAAGAGAACGAGTATATATAAAATACTTTTATTTTTTATAATACTTATTATATATTATAAAAATGATTTTTAAAAAACCCTGCCTATACTAGTATAGAGGGTAAAAATATGTTTTATAAAAAAACGACTATATTAAAAAGACGGGGCAAAAAAGTTAGAGAGCTTAGCGGGAGTAGTATATAATAAATCTAATATTAATATTTTTAATAAATATCGACCTTAGCTAAGAGGAACCTCTATTAATAGGAAATGATTTAGCGAAATATTTAATAGAACTACTTAGTAAACTAAATACTATTTATAAAATAATAATATTGTAGGTAAAAGATGTTTTTTTTAACGATATTAATAGGTAAAGTTAATTTAGTAAAGAAATAAAAAATAGAGGATATATATTTAGGGAATCTATATTTACCTTAATATTATTAAATAATAGGAGCGTAGATAATAATATAGACTAATATTATTAGTAAAAGAAATTACCCCTTAACTGCTACATACGAATTTTAAAAAACGTAATTTTAGTTACTTAAAGATTTAGGGACTTAGTAAATTTTTATATTTATTAAGCTTTATTAAAAGCTTAGCGAGAGGTAAATATTATAAATCGTAGTTTACGGTTTTTAAAAAAGCTTAATTTCGTACTACTAGAGTATAGGCTAATAATATTACTTATATTACCTCTATAAAATATTAAGTATTTTAATAAATACGTTTTAATTATTAAAGTAAGTTTTTAAATATAGCGAAAATTATACCTCTTTATTAAAGAAAAAGGGGACTTAGTTAAATTTATTTTTTTTATTTATAAGGGCGATAGGGAAGAAATGTTCTAAGTAGAAGAAGTATATAGAAAGTACCGGTATATTAAAAATATATTATAAAGAAGGATATATTTAAAGAACTTTTTAATTTTATAATAATAAAGACTTAGAAAGCTAAGTAGTTATATTATTTAATTTATAAGTTATAGAGCGAAGTAAAAGGAGAAAGAAGTTTAAAATAGCCCGAGCAGTATATATTATTATAAACTATAATAAACCTTAACGTACCCCCGAAGAGGAGAGTTTTCCTCTTTTTTTTATCTTTAAATTATAGTATAATAACGCCTAGCGAGGCACTCTTTTTAATTTATTATTATATTTTTTTTTTAATTAATACGTAACGGATACCGACGTAACGCTATTTACTTTTTAAATACTCGATAATTCTTTTTTTTTATATAGTATATATACGACTTTATAACTATATTTTTAAAGTAGATCTTAATAAGAAGGCCTTTTAAAAGAAGTCTAAAACGATATACTAATAGTTAACGCTTATAACCTTTTCTATACTAATATTTAATATTTTAAAACGATAAGGCATAGTAAGATCTTCTTTTTTTAATTTACTTAACATTTTACGTTTAATATAGTAGTTTTCTAAATTAAGAGTAGGAGACTTTATTTTATCGTTATTAGATTTATTAAGCCCTATTGTGTTTACCCTAAGTACCTTTAATAAATATACCCCGTAAAATATATATATCTTTATTAAGCCTACTATTACCCGAATAAAACTACTTATTATTATAGATATCTTTTTTAGCTTTTAAGGTCTAATTTTTACTAGTTATAATCGTAGTATATTAATAAAGGAGTATTTAGATCTAGTTAAAGTATAGGAAGATAGATTAGGAGTTAACGATTTTATTAAAGAGGATAGATAGAGAATCTATATTTTAAGGACTAGGCTCTATCGTAAAATAAAGGACTAGTTTAATATTTAAAATAAAAAAGACCGACGTAACTAGTTTAAAATTAAAGAAGCCTTTGAAAAGCGCTTCGAGGACCTTAATAGCGTAATAAAAAATATTAAAGTAGTACGAGAAGCTTTATTATTTACGAAAAGTAATAAAAAAACTATTTTTACCTTTTTATAATAAATATTTAAAATTTAAAAATAACTTCTAGAAATATATTAAAATATATTTATATAGCGCGTCTTTATTACCATTCCTAATAGTAAAAAAAACATTCTTTTTTAATAAAAAGTTTTAAATAGACTTTTTTATAAAAAGTAATTTAATAAATACGGCGTTTCTTATAACTATACCTATAATAACTTAAAGACTACTATTAAGTTATATATAGACCTAATCTAGAGATAGCTAGACTTTAATAATAAATCCGATATTAAAGAAGAGAACCCTTTTTATAAACTTATTAAAAAATTTAAATAGCAAGATAATTATAATATAGAATTAATACGAGAGGCGATATATAACTTAACGATATAAAATATTAAATAGTAAAGTAGTATAACTAAATAACTATAGATACTAGTTTAGGTAAGTAATAAACCCCTTTATAATACTAATACCCTTCGTTACTTTAATTATTATAAATAGGGATATATTAAACCGGAATATTTAGAACTTTAAAACTTAGCGGCGTAAATAAAGAATAAAGTTAATTAAAAAGAGTATAAGGCTAAGTATTTATAAAAGAAGCGCAAAGAACTAAAAGCTAAGCCTATAACGACTAATTTTATTTTACTTTTTATATTAATAATACGTAAGTTAGAGGAGATTAATTAATAAATAATAGAGGACTTTATTTTAAATATTACGTTAAGCCCTTTTATTAATACTATCCCTATATAGTATAGATAACTAAGTAATATAGGTACGTTATTATATTACGACTTAATATTTTTTAAAAACTATTATAATAGTATTTTAGGGTATAATACCCTAGTTTAGGAGATTAATAACGAAATATATATAGTAAAGAGAACCCGAAATAAAATATATTCGGATATATATAACGATAATAGAGCCCGCCCTTTTAAAAAAATACGCTAAGCTATAGGAAGGGAGGATAAAAAATACTTTAAAAATATATAAAAGAGGCTATACGTTTAGTAAAGGAAAGATAGTATATTAGCGGACGCGCTTTAAAAGATAGCCTTAATAAAGAAGAAAGAAATAAAGCTTTAAAAAAGAAGTAA